ATATATATATTAATGACTTCAAACCAGTATTTATAATTGATTGGATTCTACAGAACCAGCTTTCCTTTTTAGCTACATTATGGAAATATTTTTTTAGATCTGGGCACATAAATAGACTCAAAGCTATGTTTGTTTGTTTTTTTGAAAATCAAAGCATTAAAACTAAAAATAACAAATTTTTTCCGGTTGATTGTTATTACAAGCAAGAGAGGCTGCATCTGAATGAAGACTGATATATGCAATAGTGTTAATGTTTTCACCCACATGACAGTGCACAATCCCTGCAGCTCTTACCTCGTCGTTTAGGTTCTGCAGAATCTCTTTTCCGGTACTTCTCCTGATCTCCACCTTTCGTGGTTTGGAGATATCCTTCTGCCTCTGGATCACTCGACCTTTCCCTGATGACAGCAAGTCAAAGTCCAGTGTCTTGTTCTCCACCGAACCCTCCACTGGGCAGAACATGCCACAGAATTTCTGCCGTGGCTGGTTGGGGCTGGAGCGTCCCATGTTCTGGAAGAACGCAGGCACATCTCCGGCAGCAGACATTTCTCTCAGTGTATACTTTCAGATGGATGCAAAGGCATGTAAACCTCCGGCTAGAGAGCTCTGTGGACGCTAAATGTTAGTTTTCCCATTGGGAGGTGAGAAACAACATTACATGTGAAGCGAGGAGGTTCCTACACTTGCCAGAGAAATCTTAAAGGAATACTAACGGAATGTAAACATAATTAACAATATAAATAAGAATCCTCAAAGAGGAAAATAATTAAGTGAAACAATAAAAACAATCCATTAGCATTTCTTCAGGATAACACACATGATTCGCCAAAACAATACATTTTATTATCCACACCACTCAGCCCTTGCAAATTAATATGCAATTGATCGCAACTAGCTTCAACGAAAAGCCCTTTAGAAAAGATGCCCAAATTGAACAATACAATCTGCTGAACAATACAAAACACGAAGAATGAATGCAAATAAATGTGGACCATGCAAATGATGTTGTTATTAAACGCAACACATCAGGATTTAATGTTAATATATCTACTGAAGCGATGACAAACATTCAGAGAAAATCCAGAGGTGTTACCGTACATTAGACGCGAGACCAACTGAGGATGAGGTGACGCTCTGCTGGAGAGATGAGGAGAAACAGCGGAAGTGATGCGGGGTTTTGAGGGTTAAAGATGTAATGTGTCCATATCTGAGGGCTCTTTCCCGGATGACTTGTCTTAATGCCTATTGTGAAATAGGCTACCTTTGTTAGCGTTCGCTCTGTATGTTTGGTGAACACACGTTGGATGTGGTAAACAAAGAGAAATGTATGTTAGGTTTAGTCGTAGAATGGATAATGACTCTTAATTTTTGTTTGTATTTCTTTTATCTGCAGTCTTAAAGAGTCGCTGCTCCGTTGGTTGAAGCGCCACGCCCATGCAGGTTAAAGTTAAGGGCGCTGTCCGTTCAGCACCACGCGCTGGAGCCGCGACGAATCACGGAGGTTATGATTCACTGTTTATGACTTGGGTTATTAGTGGCAGTTCACACGGGACGCGTTCTTGTGCTCCGTCTGAGCTATTTTTATGCACACATGTGTCAGATGGGCGTACAGTAGCGTACAGTATTAGGACGTTTGTGTTACGTCTCGTTTAAAGAAGGGAATCGCGAGAAATTTAACCATCCTACTTTTTCTTAACGATCCCTTCCTTGACGGTTCCATTAAGGATTATTTTAGTAATTGTGAGTAAATAAATATTTAGGGGAAAATGTCATTCTTATTGCTTTTACTCTCTGTAGCCAAATTATGAGACAATTTAGATTTCAACTAAAATAAATATAAATATAAAAATAATACTGAAAATAAAAAGTTTCTACTTTTTTTTTTTTGTTGCAATAAATAGGCTACATCCTCAGTATGTCTTACATAAAATACTACATTTACAAAAACGTGGTGACATTAAATGTAATAATTTATTTATGGTATAAAATACCACTGGTTACAAAAAAACTCAATGCCTAATCAATCAATAACTATACACGTTGTTATTTATTAACAATCAGCCAGTAACTACAATAATTTACCATACAGTAACAGTTCTTGGTTCAATTCGATTCGGACGACATGATTAAGTAAGTGAGTCAGATTGATTCAGCAACTGCTCCAATTGATTCATGAGGGTTTTTGAGCGGCTAGAAAGAACCGGCTCATAAGAGTCAATCGTTCAGAAATCGGAATACACTGATCACGTTGTGTTTTAAATCATTGAAAAGATCTGACTCATAAGATTCATTAGCTCGGGAATATTGCACTGATCGATTTGGTTAAAAACGGCTGAGCCTGACATCATTCGTTTCGGAACGATACATTACAAAGACGAACCATAAAATAGAGTAATTAAAAAGAAAGAGTCACTCGTTGATAATATATATTTTTCGCGCTTTATTCAAAGTAAAAAAAACGCCAAGATGCTTTGCGCACATTTTTCTCACATAGCAATTTTTGCTGCATAAGAAATATTGGGCCGTGGAACATTTCGATTGAGAGTCACTCATTGGAGACTCGCCATTCTGCTTGCTTCTCCAAAGCAGCCTCACGATAATAGCTCCAAAAGCTCAGTTTCCATAACAACAACCTGTGCCCTTACCCGCTCAAAAGAGTTCCTGCTTTAGCTACTGTCTTTGCAGGCTGTTGGATTGAGGGGGAGAAAGCGAGAAAGACCGTTTGTGCCACAAAAGGAACCCGTTTCATTGAATTTCTCAGACTTGCATGCACAAAACTGACGCTGCTTAACAGACTTTTCAAAACCACTTCTCTGGTTAACAGGAGTCATATGTGGCTTAGACCAGTGTTTCCCAACCGGGGTGCCGTCTGTCGAGAGCAGGGGTGCCGTGTAAAAAATAATGTTTTAATATTTTTAAATTGCTAAAATGTTCAGACTACCCCACTGTAAAATCAAAAATGCACTGAGTGAGCAAAAATTTGTGAGATAGCTAGTTATAATGGTAATTAAGTAATGTTTACATATGAATAAAAGCCTACATTAAAATCTGTCATATAAATTGGTCTCTTCATTAGAAATTAGCCTACCGATAGCCACCATTGATGGACAAAATGTCTTAATAATATAAAAAATATCTGTATGACATTATATTCTGCAGTTCTTCCCTGTTGTACCGAATATCTATACTTTTCAAATTATCATATCGAAGTTAGAAATTCAAATATTGTAACAAAATTTATTTTGTAGGGTGCCACAAGTTTGTTAAAAATTCCAAAGGGTGCCGTGACTAAAAAAAGGGTGGGAAACACTGGCTTAGACAACGGTCTTGTTTTGGAGCAGAACACATACGCACACAAGCATGTATACTTCAGTCATCATTGACTACGGAACCTCAGAACACCTGTTTCAGCCAATCACAAGACGGCAAATTTAAGCACAGCTCCTCCCACTACAGCCTATGCTGTTGCCATGGGTTACTGGGAGGAATAGACTAATCAAACTGGAATATAGAATTCATAGGAACTCCAGTTTTTTTTACCTATTATTTTAAGTGCTAAATTATTTAAAAGAGCTAAAATGTACAAACATGTGACAAGCTATTTAATTATTTTAAATTACATTTAACCTCGGATATTGGTGTATACTATAGCTGTGTGAATATGGCACACTTACATAAAAAAGATGCAATTAATCATGTCAAAACAACATGCATTAAGATTCATGCCGATGTCACTGAATTGAACCCATCCACTGTATTCTGATCTGATTTGCATATGTGCTCAATATGAAAACGCCCTGCAGGTTGCTGCAACTGCGGACTCATCAATCATTTGAGTTCTGCAATGCTATTTAAAAGCTTTGAGAGACCTGACAGGGGCTAACTGTGGGGGGTGGGGGATGTGTTGTTGTAGGCAACTGTATCCATAAACAGATACCACAACATTTTGGAACACAGATGATGTTGTTTTTCACTCCTTCGTGTTCAGTCAGAATGAGGCACACCCTTAATTTCCCATCTGCGCCACTAGAGGGCAGTCGTGCATAGTTTTAGACTGCTAACGCTATCTAAACTGGGTTACTATTAATTAAGTTAAACCAGGTGAACTCACAAAGGCAATTTAGGCGTTTTAGTGCCGGTAAAATTGGTTACAGCCTCTTAGCTGTGGGTGCAGCATTTCACACAAATCAATAGATGAAACTAGTTCAATGATAAAAGCTTTTCTGCACACTGCTGTGAAACCAATCAAAGGACAGATTAAGCATTTCAGCCACAGATACCATATAACTGTTCTTCATAACTAGCAGAGTGGCACTCATTCAGCCCTTAGTTTACCATAAGGAGCTTAAGCAACAGACTGAACAATTCACATTATCTCAGACAGAAACAATGACAGAGCACAAATTTGATAAGCATTTCATATTCACAGTTAAGATGAGGGCATGCGCTTGTACACGAAACATGAGTCAGACGTTAGGTGGGCCGGACAGTTGCCAGAATGGTCCAAACTCATGTTCAGGAGTAGCTTTGGTTAACCCTATCATGTCAATGAGAAATTAAGATCACAATGTAGTGAAATCATAATAACTGGGAGTTGTGTGTATTATGACACATGGTGAAAGGACCTCAGACGTCAATCTATCTGTCTGGTGCAGTCTGGCTCCAAAGTAATCATCTCACAAGTTTCAACAACATGGCTCGGTGTGTGAACTGTAGCGACGGAGAAGATCTGACCCCAGGTCAAATTCCCAGACGGTCCCAGCTCTGGAGATCTAATTCTGTGTTCTGAGTGGTTGCTAGCATTGCTGGGTGGTTACATACTGGCCCAAGCCCAAAGAGACTATGAGCAACAGTTATAGTGATGCTTGACTTAGGACAATAAACGTATAATTTTATTGAAATAATACAAATTACTGCTAGAGGTGCACTACATTCATTTTTTTTTTAGGTAAAATTAACAGTTCCGTTAATAAACATGTAAAATGTGGTTCTTGATTTTCCTTCGCTAAGTCTAAAATAATAATATATTTTGAGCAGATGGGTCAGATTTGGTGGGAAATGTCCACAAACAGAGAAAAGAATCAGGCCACAATGTGGTCAGCTGTGCTACAAAATACCTTGTAGGATTTTTAAAAATTATTCTTAGCAGGTCTTTACATGGGGGTCACATTTACCATTGTTTGTCAAATTTTCTCTGCCGAAATCTAGTCATTTTAATAGCAAGCCATGCAATCGGGAATTTTGCATGATGGCGAAAGATTTCCCCACACAGATTTCGCAACAGGTTTCACACATTTACCTTGGTGTTCAGTATGAAGGTAAAATGACGTCAAAAAGATTTGCATACGCAGGGTAAGAGTTGTGGAAGTGTAAATAAGACTGTAAGCGTAAATTAAATTTGCAGTAAACTGTTGTTTTCGCTTTCAAATCACTGTTCACAGTCTTGCAGTGCTTTTGACCGTCTTTTGGCGAAAAAAACGTGCCAAAAGTGTAAGCGCGGAAAAATGGAAGTCAGAAGCATGCAGATCATATTTATTTTGCGTTAGCATGAAGCTGCAGTTTCACAATACATGAATTACACTTACGAGTAACAGTAAAATGCTGCAAATATTTTTTTCTTGCGCTTGAAACGCGATTTACACCTTTACAAAGCTTCTCTTGCGCATGCAAATTTAATTTACGCTTACAGTTTTATGTACACTTCCACAAATATTACCCTGCGTATGCAAATCTTTTTGACGTCATTCTACCTTCATAGTTCAGGAAGTGATTCAGTGAAGATCAGACGCTCCAGAGCAGCTGCAGTGTGTTTGGTGCTGCTGACTGCAGTCATATTGCCATGTGTCCACATCCATACAAACAGCACAAACTACACAGAGGAGACACACCAGCTACAAACCAAGATTAACGACCTCACAGAAGAGAGAGATAAGATACTAACCAAGAACATAAACTTGACAAATGAAAGGGATGGATTATTAACTAGCATGATGACAAACTGACTAAACAAAGAGCAGTTTAATCAGGAGAGAAATAAACTGGTGAAGAGTCTTCATTAAATAATCTTAAACTTTATCAATATACTATAACAAGAAATATAATTTATCCATACTTCAGTGTAAGTGGGAATAAATAATTAATAGCTGAACTGGTTGTTTACAGATGGATGGTTATACTACACTAAAATCCAATAGTTTACTTTACTTAGATATAATTAGTTATCTTTACTTAGTTGTTATACTTGCTAGGTTTTATTAAGTTACAGCTAATTTCAAGGCGAAAAAAAAAAATATTTACTGCTTTCAGTGACGCGTACTTAAAAAAAAATCGAGTAGCCACAAAAAACCCAGTGACATTAATACACCAGTGAGAGGCAGCAGTGCACTAATTTGTTGTTAATGTACAA